ACTCCCCAGGGTGCCCTACAAAGGATGGTACTATGGGCTGGTGGAGCACCTCTGAGCTTGAGGTGAGGGCAGGGATAAGGCTGGGTCTTTTAGAAACTGGGGGAACCCATCACAGAGAGATGTGCCTAGAGCTGCGCTGAGACTTGTGACCCAGGAGAGCAAGGGCCATGTCCCATCCTGCAGCTCCAAGTCGTTGGAGCCCCTTCATCCCCCTCCCCGGCGGGAGCCAGGGGGTCTCCCACACGCACTCTGGAGACCCCAGGATGAGGAATTTCCTGAGGGCTGAGGTCCCGTCCAGGCCTGAATCCACACAGCCCTCCTTCATGTAGAGAGTCCCTCAGGGGCTATGGACTAGGCCGGGTCTAGGTCTCTTCCCCCAGGGGCAGAGGGCCCTGTAGCCAAGTCAGGCAGTCTCCAGCCCCTTAACTGCAGCTGATGCCTCCTCCCTTGTCATGGCTATGCCATAATTTCATAGTTTCATAGTTGGTCAGGTCGGAAGGGACCTGAGCAGATCAGCAAGTCCGACCCCCTGCTATGGGCAGGACTGGATGCTGGGGTCAAATGACCCCGGTTAGGTGTCTATCAAGCCTCCTTTTGAAGACCCCCAGGGTAGAACTTCCCTTGGAAGTTGGTTCCAGGTCCTAGCCGTCCTGACAGTGAAGTAGCGCTTCCTGATGTCTAGTCTGAATCTACTCTCAGTCAACTTATAGCCGTTATTCCTTGTTACTCCCGGTAGTGCTCGGGGGAACAGGGACTCCCCCAGTGCCTGCTGGTCCCCCTTGGCCAGTTTATAGATGGCCACTAGATCCCCCCTCAGTCTTCTCTTGTGGAGGCTGAACAGGTCCAGGTCCCATAGCCTCTCCTCGTAGGGCCTGTCTTGGTTCCCCCAGTTCATGCGGGTGGCCTCCTCTGGACCCTCTCCATGTTGTCCACATCCGTCCTGAAGAGCAGCGCCCAGAACTGGACGCAGTACTCCACCTGTGGCCTGACCAATGTCACGTAGAGGGGGAGGATCACCTCCTTGGACCTGCTTGAGATCCATCTGTGGATGCATGACAAGGTGTGATTGGCCTTCCCGACCGCGTCCCCACACTGTCGGCCCATGTTCATTTTGGCATCAATAATGACTCCAAGATCCTTTTCTGCCTCTGTACTGATGAGAAGGGAGTTCCCCAGCCTGTAGGTCTGCTGCTGGTTCTTCCTCCCCAGGTGCAGCACCTTGCACTTGTCAGTGTTGAAACCCATCCTGTTCTCATCCGCCCACCCCTGTAACCTGTCTAGGTCTGATTGCAGCCTATTCCTCCCTTCCCGCATGCCCACTCCCCCCACATCTTTGTGACCCATCTGACTGTGTACGTGTCGACTCCACAATCTCCTTATTTTTTAACAAGAATGGGGTGAGAGACTGACTAGGTCCTCTCTGACCCTGGGCCTGGCTGCGCCTCCCCTGGGGCCATTGGGCGTTCCGGTGGTGGGGATGACCTGGTCCCTGCTCAGAAAAATGGAGGCAAAGAAATCGTTAAATAAGTTAGCTTTGTCATCTGGTGTGACCACCAGATTCCCAAGCGTGTCCTTCAGAGGCCCCACATTACCTGGTACCCTCTTTTTACCCCCTTCGTATTTAAAAAAGGATTTCTTGTCGTCCTTGATCCGGGCTGCTAGACCCAGTCCCATCTCCGCCTTGGCCTTCCTGACAGCCCCCCTGCAGCCCCGAGCAACCGAGGTGTAGTCCTCCCTGGTGATGGCCCCTCCCTTCCATAGGGTGTAC